TAGGGTTAAGGGCTAGTATTAGGGATTCGGGGCTGGGGTGAGGCGGTTTTGGCTTAGTTTTTGAGTGGCAGGGGCTAAAGGTTCGGGACGTTGGCCTTTTTTCACGTCCCTAAAAGCTGGCATGGGAAGCCATGTTCTGACTCCTGTCTAAGATGCGTGACGGTGCGTTTCTGTGGCTTTGTTTCTCTTTGTGTGAAAGCACACACACACATAAAACATGGTCAAGGTACACACACTTACACAATGGCTGAATGAGTGATAATTACCTCGAAAGAACATTCAAAAAAGGGCAACTATTATCACGAAACAAAGTGTTTTGTCTCCTCTTTTTTTTTTCACACGTCTCACCGGCGATGCCTTGCAGCAGTCCGCAGACGTTGAAGATGCTCTTCTTCATGATGCTCTGGAAGCAGACGGTGAAGACGGAGATGAAGGCCACGGCGCACAGCAGCAGGATGCCGGCCGCCAGGAAGATGGACGTGGCCTGCCAGAACCCGCTGGCGATCTCCCCGAAGTGGACGGCGTACGGGCCGCACAGGACGCCGCCGCCGCGCTGCAGGTGCGGCAGCTTCACGCAGCGGCCGTAGATGCCCAGCGTGGGACGGTAGGCCTCGCCGGCCGCCGACGAGGGGGCCGAGGAGGAGCCGTGGCGGTGGTGGTCGGGCGTGCGCGGGAAGCCCACCAGCCAGTCGCTGCTCATGAAGGCGATGAGCTCGCCGAACGCCGCCACGATGCTCAGCAGCGTCCACAGCATGGAGCGGCACGTCACGATCACGTGGCACATGGTCGGCGTCCGGCAAGTACTCGGGGCCTTTCTTTTGGGCTGCGGCTGTTGCGCGTCGGCTTCCTCTCCGTCGCTCCGACGGGCCCCCCGCTGAGGTCCTTCAAGTCGGCCTCGTTGCGCCTCGCGATTGGCCCTCTTCGAGTGCTTCGGGTTCTCGTCCCGGTCCTTCTTTCAGCTCGATTTTTTGCCCTTTTCGAGTCCTCCTTTTAGTCCCGCTCGACGCCCCCGCGTTAGTCCTTGCTTAGGTCATTCAGTTCTTTGGGTCCTCGCTTCGGTTCTTCTTTTAGTCCTTCTCTCAGTCCTTCGTTGACTTCTTCACTCCTGGTTTTCAGTCCTTCAAGTCTTTGCGCCGAGTCATACGTTGACTTCTCCTGTCAGCCCTTTGCTTCCTTGCCTCACACATGCGGTCCTTCTTTCAGTCCCTCTGGGACTCTGGAGTTCCATCCATCCTTCTGGTCCACGTTTTGGCCACTTTGACCCCGCCCCCCCTGCTTTTTTTTTTTTTAACTTATTTTAGTCCTTTCTGCTTCCTTTTCAGTCCTTGCCGTCCTCTTTGGTCCTTCTTGTCGTCCTTTTTAATTTTTTTTGCAGAGGCGCCGTTTCCTCGGTTGAGCCGCGGACTCGCTGCTGCGCGTTTCCGCTTTTCTCAGACTCGCCGGTCCCCTCCTGGCAGGCGGTTTGGCAGCGGTCTCCACCTCTACATCCTTTTATGGCGGCGTTCCCCCGTGAGCCGGCTCGCCTGGGACACGCCTGCCTGCCGGATGATAAAACAAACGGAGGTGAATCACTTTTTATTCCGCGGCGATTTCATGAGCATTTCCGCGTCGGTGTCATTTGGACCCTAAAGGCGCCTAAAGGAGCTTTTGGGTTACGGCTCGGTACCGCGGCCGCCATAAAGCCGCCGCGGAGATGTCAACAGACAAACACTCGCCATGGCGACAGGACAGCGGCGTGTCCGCAGATCTGGGAACCCGTTTCTGCTCTGTTGCTGCTGGCGCGGTTTAAAAAAGAAAAAAAAGGAAGATTCCCCGCGATAAAAGAATTGCTGACAGGCTTGGACCTGATCAGGGCCAGCATTTGGGCTGCGATTTTGAATTTGGCTCAGGTCGCCGTCATGTAAACACAGCCCAAGTTTGCAAAGGATCAGACCTGTTCCGGACACATCGACGTAGCGATCCAACTGCTTGTGGCCCAGCATTTAGGCTCAACTTTTCTTCAGCATTTTCACTCCAGTGTTTCAAATTAAGCCCAAGTGACGACATAAAACCGAGGACCGGGACCAGACCTGTCCTGGAAAAAGCGTTCGGACTGGGCTTCAGACAACCGGTGAGCAACTTGTCGGCGACGCTTGGCCAAGGGTTCAAAGGTTACGGGAAGGGCCCTGCCGCGATTTGGCGTCTCATCGGTGCAGCTGCGTCCAATTAGCGCCGCTGCGTCACTCACGCCTTTTGTGACAGTTTCCCTGTCAGAGAAAAATTCGGCTTCTGTGACTGGCCAACAAATGTTTGACCCTCACACACACACAGACACGCATTATGTGTGTCAGGCTTGTCTTGGGTGTCAAACAAAAGTCTCATCAAAGGCGCTCTCGGGATGCTGCTTCCTCTCAAAAGGCGTCCGGTCGGCTGGGGCGAGGCCAGCGCTGGCGGAATTGAATCCCGAGGTCGTCGCTTTTAAACGCGACGCTGGAAAAGCAGAGGCGGGAATTCAACGGGGACCGCCAGGATCAAAGGCCGCCCAAAAGGGGGCACGATGGGAGCCTCGACCTTGATGCACCGGAGCGTTGTCTTCGTTTCGCGTGTCCACAATCAGGCCTTTTGTACGTCGGGGAAGCTTATCAGCGGTCACGTGACACCCGGGCGGCCGCGACGCTATCAGGCACGAGTTGGCCCGAGGTGGGCCGCTTAATGGGGTTGGGATTCCTCCCCCTTGCCTCTTATCTCTCCTTTGCACGCTCAACGAGACGGCAACTCCGGCGTTTCCTTTTGGACCGGACAACATGAGCTGCAGCGACCATGAAAAAAGCAACTCGGGGCAACGCCGGACATCGCAACAATGGGACGAGTCGGTCGCGTGCGCATTTGGGACGGCCAATCCCGCCCGGCCGGCCTCGTCAGCAGCCCAAGAAAATATCGCGCGCGCGCGCGAGCGCGGGCGGGTGAAATCGGAGCGGGACGGCCGAGTCAGCTTTTCCAGCGGCAAGCGGGCCAATCTTTCCGAACGCTTCAGCACATCTGCGGCCGTGTTTTGATCGGCGCATGACATCAGCTCCGCCGCGCCGCGTGTCCTGCAAAAAAAAAAAAAAAGTCAATCGAATCAAAGTCTCCAATTAAAAAAATAAAACCCGAGGGTCCGACCAGTCTGTGTTCTGCAAGAAAGCGCACACCTCGGTGGTTCTCCGGGACGAGGCCGCCTCGGAGCGTTTCTCCCTTTTCGCCTTCCCGCGTCTCTCCGGTGCGAGGGTCCGCACGGTGGCCACACTCGCGGGGTCGGCGAATCTGGGTTAAAACAACAAGCGCGGCCGGATCTCCCTTCTTTTGTCTCGCCGGGCTTTTCGTCAGCCCTCTGCGACGGGCCAAGAGCAACATCCCGTCACGTGGGCCCGGCCCGGCGACGACCGCTCACAATCAAAGGCGATGAGCTCATCGGCATCGCAAAGCCCCTCCGGCCGCGCTTTTATCCGAGTGAGCGTGGCCGGGATGTCGAGGAGGCCGTCCCGACATGCGGCGGATTTCGTGTCAGACGCCGCCGCCTTTGGTGTCCACTGGCGCAGGAAGGACCAAGCGGTCGCGCGTGTGGAAAAGGGGACGGGGGGGGCCAGCAGGGAAAGCCCGGGCGAGGAGGCCTCTGAGGAGGACCCCATCCAAGGCGCGTGCTGACCAGCAAGCGCCTGTTTCGTCTCCAACACAGCTCGAGGGAGGACTTTGCGAAATCGCGCTACGCTACGTTAGGGGATCGCTTTTACTGGAGAGTTTTTCTGGAGGTGCCCGCAGACGAAGCCCCGGGAGGATTTCACATGTGCGACAAGTCGTCGCTTTGAACTGGGGAGCCATAAAAGCGTCCGGGTTGCACGGAGCCGCAACCGCGTCGCTCGCTTCGCCAGTAAAGTCTTGACGTCTTTGAAGCAGGCTTCCAAAATGAAAAGCGGCGCACTTCGGTTTTTCCGCCAGTAAATCTGAGCGGATTTGCAGCAGATAAACACTCCTTGGACATGGTGATGCCATTCCAAAAAAAAAAAAAAAAACAGACACCGGTGTCACCGGTCGGCCGAATTACAGGTGCGCCGCCGCAAACGGACAACCGCCGCCTGGTAAAAAAACGCCACCCCGACAAAAGCCGCTTGGCGAGCATTCGTCATCCAAAGACGCAGGCCCCAAAGAGGCAAGGGGGAGTTGGGGGTTTTTTGTTTCTGCTCTCAGCGAGTTCGGACGCAGTCCAGACGTTTGACATCAAAGCGAGGAAGCGTCGAGACGGCGGCCGTGGCACCGACATCCCTTTTGAGGAAACAAAAACAAGACTTTCACCGTCACACCAGACGCAAACGCGCTCCATCGGAGCCGCTCGGTCCCTCCCGCTCGACTGTCAAAGCGGCACATCAAACAAAGAAGAGTCCGAAACATTTCAGACCCAAAATATTTTCGGCGTCGCAGGCCAACTTTTGGTGGCGTGCGCTTCAGATCACCGCATCCGCTTTTGTTTCTTGCCGAGGGACAAATCTGGCGGGACGGCGTCCGCGCATGGCCGAGTGTTCCGTGTTTGCGCGCGCGTTACATCGCGGCCGTCAGGTTGACTTTTGTGGAAAGCGCAAGCCCGTGGAAAAAGATACGGACGGAGGACGGAACATTTGGCACTGGAAGGAACCCGTCCAGAGTTTTCCAGCGGAGGGAAAGAAATAATCAAATCAAACACGAGCCACATAAAAGCCGACCGCGGGATGCAGGTTGCCAGGCGACGGCCCAAAAGAGCCGCAACAAACGCGCCGGGGCCAAAATGCCCGAGAGCTGACGGCTGCGCTCTAGAAATCGGCCCATAAAAAAAAAATAAAACGATCCGCGAGGGGACGGGCGGATGTTGTCTGCAACCGGAGACGCTCGGCGTCGGCACCATCTGGACGCCGCGAAGGGCCCTCGACGAGCGCGTGCAGGCAGATGCCAAATATGCAAACAATCACGGCAGAGAGCGCCAACCGCTCCCGCTCATCAAAGCAACACGCCGCGTGGTGAGATCCATCCGCGCTGACTTCGGTGTCGAAATAATGCACGCATTTCATGCATGAAAGCCTTGACAGGAAGTGACCCCCCCCCAAAATTGTGCTCAAAAGATAAGGAGGACAAGTTCGAGAAGACGAGCAAATGCAATTTTGCGCACTGACGGGAACCCAAATGAAATGCCGCGAAACTGACTGCAATGCAGGCAATGCTATCAGGAGAACGAGCAAAACGCTTATTTGCTAACAATTGGGCTTGGGTACAAAAAAGCGCGACGGCAGATTGAGAGAGGTCACGCACGCCCTGCATTCGGGCGCTACTGAATTTACAATTGCTAAAAAAAGAGAAAAAAAGCGGACAAATTGCATCGAAAATGAAAGAAAGAATGTTTCCCTGAGGGACTCCAAGAATATCTCCCTTGCACAATAGTATGAGGACACCAATGGTAAGCTTGGTCCCATTTTTAAAAAACGCCTTTTCTCCCAACGCTCACATTCCAAGGACACGGCGTGATGCGTTTCTTGAGAAAATACGCGGCGCTTCATATATTGTGCCCGGGGAACGCCGCTCACGCACCAACAGAGAGGAGGGCCGGCCGGGCAACAGAGCGGAGCGTTTGACGTCAGGGTTGCGCGTCGAGGATCAAACTGGGGAGCGCAAACGTTTCTCCAAAGACATTTCAAGGAAGGGAAGACAATATGGAGTTGTTCCACCTTGACAACTTCTGGGAATACTTTGTACATAGTTGAGGTTGCAGTTGGCCACGGTGCGGGAGTCTCGGTGCTCTCGGGCCTTCTGAGGGGCGGCGGGGGTGGGTACGCCGCAAATCCACATGCGGATGTGTTGAAGGTAAGGAAATCCCAACGGCGCCGTCCAAAGGAAACCGTGGGAAAGAGCGCAAGAGAAGAATAGTCGCGGTCAACAGACCGCGCACCTGCGGGGGCCGCGGGGGCCCCCCCCCCACACCTCCGGCGGCTCCATTTTGAGGATTGCGCATTGTGCCAGCTGAAAAAACCAAAACCTCGCCCGGGGGGGGTCTTTAGACTCCAAATATATCGCGCAACAAAGTGCCTTCCAGCGTGCCGCAAATGCCCGAAAGCCCAATCGTCCAAGTTTGAAACGTTCATCCATCCATCCCTGAAAACAAAGCGACAAACGATCAACAAGAGCGGCAACAAGAGCTGACGCCGATGCGCGTCGCTTCCGATGCCCTGTCCCGGTTTTGCGGCAAAAGTTGCCCACCGCTTCCAAGATGAATTTCACGCAGA